CATTCTTCATCAAATCACTATTCCAAAATGCATTTTTGGAAAAAAAAAATATGGAGCTCAAACATGCTCTCTTAATTTTAGTTATTCTTCTTTGTTCTAGTGTTTTTCCTATGCTTTGGTTAGGATTTGATATATATATATATATATATATATATAGTTGGGAGTGGATTTGATGAATATAAAGTTACTATATTTCTGTGGAATAAATTATTTGTTGTTTACTTTGGGGATTCTTCTAGATTTCTGGTGTTACAATTTGAGTTTTGATCTCCACAGTAATACCATGGTGTTATCATTTTCCGTCCTAGTAAACTGTCAATTAATTGCCAATGAGATGGAAAGTAAGCCCAGACAATAGGTGCAATGAGGTATCTAGTTCAAGTCGAATTGATTCCTTGGCATTAATTGTTTAATTCTAAAAGTATATCTTTTTACAAAGCATCACTTTTTTTAAATTTTTATCACTTTTTTAGTGACAAACACAACTTTTTCATAAAAGTAACACTTAACTTTATACAATATTTTTTTACTTTTAAAAAACTTTTTATATGATTAATGGATTGGCTGAATTGGTAGATAATGCTGGCGATAAATTGACTTAAAGATGTTTGGCGTTTTGATTTGTGTTTTGTCGATGAACTGATTTAAAGATTTTTTACGATAAACGGAGAAAAATGAGGGATGGTGATTGTGTCACTATTTTTTTTGTCACTTTATTAAACTTAGTTTAATGTTTTAGTTGGTGTTGTCACTTTTTTTTTTTAATTTATGTTATTTTTTTTTAGTGTTTATTACTTTTTTTTTTTTTGAATTTCTTCATTTTTTTAGTGTTTGTCACTTCTTTCTGACACTTTCTTGAAATTTCTATCACTATTTTGAGTGACAAACATCATTTTTTTTAATAAAAATATGTCATTTTTATTTAAAAAGTAACATTTAACTTTAATAATAGTGACATTTTAATTACAAAAAAGTGGCAATTGTATATAGTATTTTTTACTTTCAAAATACGTTTCATGTGATTTTTCAAATGACCCCTAATTTTAGGGGTATTTT